ATGCTCAACCCATTCCAAACTTGACCCGACCTCTCCAGGTGTCTGTTCATGTTATGTCGAATTTCCGTACAAACAAACAAACGAACAGACAGACAGACGCGAGCGCTTTATATATAGTAAGGATATTTCGGAATGTAACTTAATGTATTTCGGAATTTCGGAACGTAATTATGTATCGCGATTGGCATTCAATCGGCAATTCAAATCATGGCGATGAAGATTCGAAATTGAAAGTCCCTTATATGATACAAGCTCCGCGAACCTCCTTCACTGGGTGTTTTCTTTCACTAAAGGACCTGTGACTTGTTGGTTATGAAAGTCCGTGGTGTGACTCTAGGTAGCGGAGGGAGAATGAATCGTGATGCAAAAGTCGAGGGATGCGGAAGTATCGCTCAGAGATGCAATTGGATTCAGGGAATGGAATCTCTGTATCTGCATTGACTCCTGTAGACCGGCTCCTTTCATCGTCTCCTTACAGATGTATCCACGCATACGTGTGGGGAGAGTTTGCAGGTGCGATCAATGTGAGGCATATCGTGTTAGCCAAAAGTGGGTGAGAAGTGATTGAAATCAGAGAGGTTAGTCGGAGTCACCTCAAAGAGTATACTTATTATTTATTATTTATTGAAAGCGTAGACAAGTCTACCAAGTCTACGTGAAGCAGCATTGCTATCCGAAAACTATCCAGCCCCCTGACAAAATAATCGTGAATACCTACATATATGCCAAAACTGTAACACAAACGGGCATCATTCTGCGGAACCTGAAAAAGCAACCGATACGGCAGCTGGGTAGGACCGCTCCTGATGATGCTGCTCAAATATTAGAGCCAGAATATGCCGCTCAGAATCAACGCACGAAAGCATTTATGCAAGCTAATAAGACCACGTGTAACGTAGGACCGATCAAGAAAGAAAGGTATCACCAGCTGTCCGCTGTTTTTGGGACTGGAGAAGAATTGCTCTTTGGAACATGTCACAGCAGCGTGAGTTTCCTCGACTATACAGGTTTGGTGGTTAACAGAGAGCTCCACAAAAGCTCGAATCCGAATCGCACATGAGCGTTTGTGAAAATGTGGCTTAATCCCAGCTCTAACAAACTTAGTTGCCTGCCCCACAATGTAGAGTTATGGAGAGAAACTGGCTCCCTTTTGTATGGATGTAAAAATACTCCACAAAGCGGAACACATCTTGCTCAAGAACATCAAGGGTATTTCAGCATAAGATTGTCTCCAGCAGAACAACTAAAGAATTGCTTATCGACTCTTGCGACACGGAAGGGAGTGGGCAGTGCGAAAGACCGTCCAACTTTATCATGTCCTCTCAGCTGTTGTTTCGATGCTTCACACGGGATCAGACCCAAGTCTTCTTTAAATTTTGCTTTCGAGTGCTAGAGAGGGGCAGCGATTTTTAGGAAGCGAAGCACCGAGATCAATGATCGGGATCTCTTCGCTTTCGTTGCGGTTCATTGGAAAATTTCATCTTCAACAGCATCCATGAGGAGTATAACGACACCTCTATTGCAGCATAAGAAAAGCAGAGAGCCTAAAAGTAGCAATGAGACGGCTCTTCGACGGCCCATAGGCCAGCGTGGAATCGGTCTGGGTGAAAGCGGTCGGCAGCTGACGTTATAGCTTGCACATTTGTGCAGATCAGCGGTGAGGGAAGATCTGAAAGAGATAAGGGTCGGAGTCGCAGGTAAGGGTATTGAAGAAATGAGGAATCTCAGAGGGAGATCGAGACGACATCACCAGGACATCTGGAGAGTCTTCCTTCAGTTGTCGTCAGAACTTGTCTGCGCTCTTTACGAGGTACCCATAGAAATACAAAGTGCTCACGTCGTGGAAAACAAGCAAAACTGGTTGTTGTAAGAAGGAAGTCCAGTTTTGGCAGAATTCCAGGAGAAGCATGACTATGCGTAGAAGCAGAATATGGAGAGGGTTCAGCACAACCGATCATACCCACGCTGTCACATGGTTCATCGAGTCGCGAGAGTGAAGAGTGTCCTTATATCTCTCGTTAATCGATTTAAGAAACCCTTTGACGTCGTCAATACGGAAACGGTCACTGGTGCCGTAGGCTACCAGATTGTTTCTTGTCAATTTACAGGGTTGCCTGATGAGTTCTACAACAACTTCATGAAGATTTCGCTATTCAGTGAGGAAGTCATCTTTAACGTGAGAAGAGGTTATGCTTCATTAGACGGTACGAACTTCTGGGTGCTCTAGCCACCTTTATTTGGGTCGAGAACGATGAACGACCTACTTCCGGGGCTGAGGTGATCGAAATGCTTATCGTGCAGAGTAATGAAGGACATGGAGCTAGTAAAAGATGAATAACATTAAATACTGCTCTTATCCTGTCGACCTGCAGCCCTTCCCATTTTGACATTCGCTTTGGAGATTTGGACTATCCGAAAGCAGGATGAACACGCAGTGAGCAACCTTCAATGCGCTGCGGACAATGCTCAGCTCAATGCTTCTCTATACACGCAAGTGCGAAGGGGAATCCGGAGTTTTGGGCTCCGTCAACAAACGATGATCCGAGACTCTGCTGCTTACGATAAGGAATCAAATATCAGGTGGGCTAGACACGTTATGCGATATTGTGATGGAACAGGGCGTTCACTAATTGGATCCTTCGGAATAATATGAACACTAAGAACTATCCCAGCACGATGGTCAGAGAACGTAAGAAGTTTTCACGAAAGCTCTGTACAAAAGGAATGCTTTGTGCTTCTTGAGCTATGATTAGTCACGGGAATACCCTGGCTCGTGACAGGAACTAATACAGACCTTACTGGCGCCCGCTTCAGAAATTCTATGATCAAGGTGACGACAGGTGACACAGGTGATGATAGATTTTCAAGCATCGTTCTTTCCAGAGTACGTTAGGTGAAACCAATAGTATGCCCAACCTTGTCAAAATTTAGATTCCGTAGACCTTAGTGATAGCGGGGAAGGCTCTGTTCCTGCCAGTCACTTAATTTCACTGAAGCCGTTCTCACTTTATACTAGTTTTCGGTGAACTCAACTGAAATGCTCAACTCTCGATTTGTTGAGTGAAAACAATTCTGGTGACACTGTCTTCATCGAAACTGGCCAATTAACCTCTAATCGCGCAGTAGATATGGATCTGCATTTGACATGATGGCCAGGCAACAGTACTATGGTGTTGTCGGTAAGGCAGAGACGGAAACGTCGACTGCTGCTAACCTCGATTCTGTGATATTCCCTTTATAAATAGGCGCGACATTCGCAAGTGCGGCATTGAAAGCTATGGTATCACCCTTGGCAGTTTCAGTAGATCATTTCTGCGACAAAAGGGGTTCAGAATGCAGGGAAGGATCTGATAGAATTATACTATTTATCGAAGGGAAGACTGTTTAGCAACGATAGTTGCTCCTATCCATAGGAACTGAATTTTTGTACCTTCTTGTTTATCTGACTAAGTGGGTAGTGCTTCTGACATTCAGACAGTTTTGCAATAGGTTCTTCTTAAACCAGTCATTTAAGAAGCATAGGAAATGCGGCTATAATCAACTTCATGCCGCTTGCAGGAATGTAGGAAATAACATGTAAAGAGAGACGAATTCAGCTTTCAGGTGGCTATCGCATGCTTCTCTTGGTTTGTGCTGTCATCATCGAATAATATTCTCAAGCCTTCAATTGCCTTCGTCGCATTAACTATCTTCAACCAGCTTCGACGGCCCATGGCGCTCATCGCTCCTGCCGTGCAGATTATCTCGAAAGTACTGTTTTATCGAAAGTTCTTTGAAACGTTGATATACTTCAATGCAGTGGTATGGGAAATCATCAAATATAGCATGCGACCTCTTCAATATCGCAAAATCAATTGAAATCTTCCCACTACCACTAGAGAGCAGCGCTAATGACATGCTGCAACGTATCGGTGGAGCTCTCATTGAGTGGCCTCTCCTATGTTTAGGGGATATTCAAATATTCGTTGCATAACAATAAACAAAGGAAAGGCTGCTTGAGTAGGAAAGGAAGGGAAATCTGAGCATCATTGAGAGGAGTCTCCCGTTTAGCAAGCAATCGTAATCGTTACAATCACTCACAAGCAATCATGTGCATTCGATCGAACTCAAAAAAAAGCGCAGAATGTGGTGTTATCCAGTGAGTGACTAACCAGTATTAGCTCTTGTGCTGTTTTGGTAATCGATATGTACCCTAAAGCAAGACATGGGAGAAGTTCTCGCTGTGCTTTTTTTTCTTGCCAACCCGCACGATTCGGTTTTTGTATGTTCTTTTAATATGAGCAGGAGTTGTTATCATTTTTTTTCCTCAAAAAAGCAACAAGCTCGCCGACATGAGCGTAGTCTCGACTTAGAGTGATCCTTAAAAGATCAAACTCTATTTTTTCTTTACATAAATCTGATGCCTCACGAACATTTTTTTGAAGCTTCTGAAGGCTTCAATGAAAAAATCTACGGGACCCCTGCTCCCGTAGCAGCGAATGACTAGGGCTAAATTTCAAAACTATATTCTAGGAAGGTCAACCTCTCAGTTGATTTATGGGGAACTATAGAGAGCAATCATAAAAAAGTTTCCGCAAGTACTTAGTGCCAAAGATTCTGCCGATGAAAATCAAATTTTTAGGCACTTGTCTGCAGTAAGAGGATCGATGAGTTTTTGCAAGCTGATGAGTTAGTTCGGCAAAAGCAGAACATCGAAGACGAGATGGTTCCGATTACACTAGACAACTGTTTCTTTTCGTGGGGCAAAGAGAAGGAGCACCTTAAAGATGTACGACATTCATCTTCCGTATGTATCGTTCAAATTCATTTTTTTGCAGATAACATTGAAGGTTCTGCAAGGAGAATTTCATGCTATTGTCGGATCTCTTGGTAGCGGAAAATCGTCTTTATTGTCGGCAATTCTTGGTCAGTCCTAGTGTTCTTCGTCTTCATCGGTTTCGGTTGATAATCCATCAGATACTCACCGAGAAAATTTGAAGTGAGATTATGCATGTCTTAATATTAGAATAAGTGAAAGTTAAGGACACAAATCAACAGGGGATTTTCGTAAGAAGCTGTCCGCAACTTCGTGGTCGGTTGAATCTTCAGCCGACATCAAATGAAAAAATCGGAAGAACTGATTGCATAATTTGTCAAGTAAACTGTAGGAAACACATTCCAAAAGAAAAGGAAAGGGAGATGATTGAAGACAAAGCCTGTCGCTGAGATTAAAAATTCATCTCACCTAAGGAAAGGAGTAAAAGAAATGAGGGGAAAACGAAAAAGAAGGACGCTTGAGGGGCATTGGTGGGATCATACTGGGGCTTTTTTAGGAATGAACTGATATGAATTCTTATCGTAACACCTACTGTATATAAGCTCGAGTAGGGCTAGACACTTCTACTTCGTCCTCATCTTCTCCTTTTTGCTGACGACCACAATAAACCGGTCGTCTTACTGAAGTGTAAGGACACAACAATGAGTACTCTTGGAATAATTTCCACGTGTTCCGTGTTGAGCAACTAGATTTCGAGGCTGATACGAAATGCATAATTGACATCCGGTGTCGACAAACAGGAAATCAACATTCTATCAGTCAAAGTGTCCGTAGTGAGTAACTTCAGTGAATTCCTACGGTTATGCCGAAAGCGTTCGCATGAACCTTTTGCGAGAGTTTTCGCTCCTGCTTCCTTCCGAAGGTTAGTAACAAGCAAATAGTATTCTCTAATGAGGGTAGATTCAGTTTTTGCATAAGGAAACTTGATATAAAACAATGTGTGGCCCTTATCAAAAAGTGCGTAAAGTTGCTCTCTTTGATGCGATATCGGATTACATAGAGTTATTGCAGCTATTATTGAGCGCGAGGGAATATCTGCATTCATGTATACATTATTTGAATGAATTACTTTTCCTGAGTCGGACCCTGAGTCAGATAGATCTATTGTGGACACCGAGTCGACAGTCATAGTAGCCGCATCATCGGAACGCTTGGAAATAGGTGTTGGAGATCTTGTAGCAGCTGGCGTCCTTTTAGACCCCTTTTCCCATTGAACGCGGTCTTTCTGAAGGGTATTAATGAGTATAATTTGATGGGAAAGAGAAGATTATCGTTCTCTTTAATGCGTGCGAGATTTTGGAGATCTTTTACTACGACTGGTGCCTCTGCTTTCAGAAGCAGCCGTCTGGAAATTCGAGTCTTTCGATGCACCAAGGCTGCGAGGCGGGTAACCTACTCCGTTGGAACTTGGATTACGGCTTACACTACGACTGGGCCTACAAGGCATCATATTGTGAGGACCACTACAATTACGACATGGGGGCCTAGAACAGTCTTGGCAAAAATGCTGTGCGGAGAAAAGTTCGAAACACTTTCTTAGTGTTCAAATTCGATCTCTGCGTTCGCCCACAGTATGATATTGGTTGCGAAAATGGATCTTGTGAAGACCTTCGCACGTCGCGCATCGATATTGCGATGTGGGTTTCGTTTGTCTTGAAAGAATGGTAGATTTGCAAGGATTAGGTTGCGTATTCGCTGTTTGAACCTGGGTTACCTCTAACGTTTTTACTATATTCCTAGTTTCCGCCATATGTTTCTCCATACTCCAATTGGTGGCGTCGTTATAATCTTTTGAGAGGAGCTTTTTGCTGAGTACTAAGTGGGAATTTATGGAGAACCTTAGTTTTATATTCGATTGCGCCAATATGGGCTTCAGCTTTCGATAGTGGTGTTATGATAGCAGCGAGATCATTAACCATCCTGCGCAGTTGAAAAACATGTTTCGAAGATTGAGGAATTCGTTCGAGCTGGTCCAACAGGAGTTTGATGGTAAGGTCTTGATTGTGAAACTGTTTTTTCAATTGTCTTACTGCACTTGCACAACCTAATGCTTTACGAGGAATGTACTTCAAAGCTCTCGCAGCTTCTCCTTCACGTTTGTCCAGTGAAATGGTTTACTTCTCTGTGTCTGAGTACGATTGTTTATGTACGAAATCCGAAAAGATCTCCCAAAACGCTTCAAACTCAGTAGGGTTACCATCTAACACTGGAATTAGACTTTCTTACGATACCAGTGAGCGGGAATGCCAAGTGGACGCTGAGTCTGTACGCTATACGAGAAGGGTCTTGAGAATGAGGTTTGTGGAAGTTGCGAGAAGGGGAAGGGGAGGTCGATCGCATGCGTGCATGAGCGTCAAATTCATCGGCACACGAGACCCGCATTTCTTGGGTTGCAATTTCCATTATTCTTATTTCGAGTTTCTGAATTAATAACCTTGCTGCTTCTAGAAGCCCTTCTCCTCGATGTTCTTCCCAATATTTTTCGAGCACTTTTGCCACCTCTTCGTAAGAAGAACTCTGATCTGAAATGCGAGAGAGGGTATCTTCATAAATGGTGGTAGTGACTCATTCGAGTTTAGTTTCGAGCTTCGTTGCGATGGCATTTATTATGTCACGTTGGGTACGGATAAGTACATAAAATCCTTTTTGGCTCTCTGAAAAATCTCCTACATCGTCATATTGCGAACATTTCGGGATGATATGACTTAAATCATTTAAGAAGCGAGTGGTCCTTTGCTTAGCAGAGGAAAGGATTGCACAAGACATAGAGTTCCACAAAAGCTGTGGACCCACGTGAGATGATCAATGAAGAGACAACTGATCAACCAAAATGATAGCTTGGTCTTGTTAGGTGCTTATAAATCATTGTTGTTATGATTTCTGCGTCATGATAAGATAAGGTAATAGGGCATTCAATGAAATTCGTGTGAACGAAAACATTTTGTTGCGAAATGGACCACATGTGTGGTCCTGAGAATATAAACATCTGAGCCAAAATAAAATCATTATCTTCAGCACATTCCTTGCGAAAACCACTGCTTGCGAAAAACCATAATGCTACTTGCAAGAAGGTTACTTGTGAGAAAGTTTGAATGCAACAAAACCAGTGGTGGAATAACCGTGCTTCAAAAATTACATGGTGAATTGCTGACAATGCGTCTTGACTCACGGCCAAGCGCAATTCACAGGCGTCCATCGTTGGACCACCCTATATATAATCGGGGGTATATATTCGGGGGGGGGGGGGNGTCGGTTTCCTCGTGCACAAAAAGTATAAAAGGAGCACCACAAAACGCAGAGCATGTGGTAGGAGCTCCAAAGGAATTTACGATAATAGTGTGGAAAGGGAATCAAGAGATCTTGGGTTCGTAGAAAACGTTGGCCGATGCCCCATAACGTTACTTGTATCTCGCATTATAATGCCGACCAACGATTTATTGATGATTCAGAGACATCAAAAATATCTTGAGTTTGAGAGAAAGCGAAGGAGCGAGCCTCGAGAATCTTCGCCTGTACATTTACATCCTTAGTTACAGTGGACTCCGCGTATCGTGAGCTCCCTCACGGCAGGATCTGCTGATATACTTCGGAGATTAGGTTCTGGTATCACTCATCTCGTTTCTTACAGGAGAAATGACGCAGCTGGATGGTACTAGGAAAATTTGTGGCACAATCGCTTATGTGCCACAAACTGCGTGGATACTGAATCAAACGGTGCGGGCCAATATACTCTATGGTATGGACTACGACAGGAATAAATACGATCGGGTATGGTTCATTAAAGTGGCGCTCATAGTGCAGTACAAGGTGCCCTTCGCTGCTTGTTAAAGGTGCCTATGAAAGATATAGAACAGTGATCAAGCTGCACTTTCGCCTGTAAATGCTGTATTAACCAGTGTTAACTCTCCAGAGTTTTGTGAACCCTGAAGACTTACCTCTTTCTCTTGACTGAAACAACTTCCTCAAGGAAACACGAAAAATAAAATAACTGGAAGGCGCAGAATTGCAAAGCAAGTGGAGAGGGTGTCTGATCGATTTCACTATTGACTCGATGTACAGATTTACTTCGAACAGCCATCAACTCCTATTACTAATCTTTAGAAACAGGCTGCCCATCCAACAGATATGCCATCCTGACTTCTCCTAGCTGGCACATTATAATATGTACATACCACAATCGTAAATGGGTCTTTGGGAATTATAACAAGGTCCTCAATATATGCCATCTTCAGCGTCCATTCTAAAAAAAAGACAGAAAACACGAATTCCCTAATTAAGTGGAGATGGCCCTGTTTTGTTTTTGTCAAATTTGTGAGTTCAGTAACATTCTATTCTATCAATGTTAGCTCAGTATCATTCTATTCTATCAATGTTAGATCAGGTTTGTCTTGTTTTTATGTATTTTCGAGAAGCTACATGTTCGAGCAAACCGGGCTCAATCATCAAGTGAAAAGTGAAAGGCCTAAACAATGGATTGTTCTTCAAGCCTACATATGTGCGAAAGTTCTGTTAATTTTTGCTTCAAATCAGTTTGCGGGATGCAACCCGCATTCAACTTCCATTCTGAAATGGATTGCACCCAAATGCGCTGTACAATGGCTTACGGTGGTGACCGGATGTTGAAGTCGGCTTCTATATCTCAAGACAATCTTGGTGTCACTTAATGGACCGAGAGTGTTGGATGGTCTGATCGGCTTTGACGTGCATCGACCAGTTCTCCCTGACCATGTAACAATGTGCTCGAATGTACTCCACTTCCGCATGTTTATGTATGTAACACATGTTATATACACATATGTGCGCGAAAGTGAAGAAGTGGCGAGTATATATGTAAGTATGTCTTGCAGATATTGAAAGCATGTGAACTGAAGAAGGACATCTTCTGCCTACCACGCTGTGACGCTACCATCGTCGGTGAAAATGTTAGTTTGTATTAACATGTGATTTCAGATCTACAGTATAGCAGAATGTAAGGACTATGTTTAGCAAGTGTTTCTTTACCATTTTGCTTTGTATGAGTACCTAATTGCTTTGCAATTTACGAAACTAATAAGATAATAGAAATCGAAAAATTAAGGGGTCAAAATACGTTGCCATGTATGCTGTAAGAAGGGAGGGATTCTAAACAACTGCATGGCAATAGACAAAATTTCGAGCGATTCTTTTGGCAGTACCTGCACTCTTTTTTCGTGAATTTGTCTTTTCTCCAAATTCGACAGCAACGTCCCTCCACCCATTACCCTAAATTTGAAAACATTTACACAAATGAAGCAGTTACTAAGGTGTAAATGGAACGCGACCGGAAAGCATGAAGTGGCTATATCATTTGGCAACATAGCAAAGTGCCATTTTCCGGAAAAACGAAGTGAAATTTATACATGTCAATGAAGTGATTTCTAACGAGTTAGCTAGGCACAGCCAGCTCCGGTGCATTAGATCTAAATTACTGCGTTCTCTACTGAGGACCAGAACTGACTCGGAGAATTATCCTCCTGCCAAAGTGGGGGCAACCTGTCGCCCTGTCACTCACATTCGTCACTACCAACAAATCTCGATTTGTGTGGTCCCGAATTTCTCGCTGATGGAATTTTGCGATGGAGCCTTGACCATCTATCTTAATAATATTTATATAAATATGTACAGGGTGTCCCAAAATTATTGGCGCCGATTTATAACAATATATTTGAAACTTCGCAGCTGTGAAAGACGATGGAGTTTCTATTCATGCTACCTAACAGCATAGCGGTGATAGCGCGTCATTTTGGCGTAGAAATAAATAAATAAAATAAATAAACATTATGTGCTACAACATGCTACAGTCGCATTTCAAAATATTCCTCATGAGCGCGGATAGAAGTCAAAGTTTGCTCTCGACTTGATCGCATGTGGCACGCAGGTATCCTTCTCCATTTCTTCCCAGCCGTTCTTCAGCCTTTGCATCCTAGGTCTCCAAACTGGGATTGCAAACTCGACAGGTCATCTTCTAATCAGTGGCCATTCGTGGGAGTCAAGTGAGTCAAGTTCTGGAAAATAGGATGACCATTCCTCTTCATCAATGAAGTCAGGCAGCTGCCGTTGGCACCATCCGCGGGCAAGTTTCACTCAGTGGGCTGGAGTAGCGTCTTGCTGGAAGGACTACGAGAAGTTTCAGAAAACGTAGTCGGATCAGTGCTTAATTACTTCCATCAGTACGCTGTTTGAGTACTGGTCTTGGTCAATTTTCAAGCCTTAACCGAAGAAACCACGAGCGGCTTACCCTTGCCAGTGATTTCCTTGAAAAACAAAGTTTTACTTTTCTTATAGCAACCTTTTTGTGAGATATTACACGCTAGATGTTTCTTTCCGGAACGCGAACGTTTTGGTTGTTGAGAGATGGTTTTATCGTGAAAAATGCTCTGACCAGAGAAGACGACGAAGGGTTGCGTGTCACCACTCAAGTGGGTCTGCGACTTTCTGCATTTTTTGGCCCTGCAGTGTCTGTTGAGAGCGGAATTGAAGCGAAATTTCTGCATACGATAGGAATGGCAGCGAAGCTTCTGCATGACATTCTTCCATCGCGATAACTCCTGGGAGCCGTGCCCGTTGACTTCCTTTTTATGGGTCACCCAGGATCCCGTCCGATTGGCAGACGGGCCATTTTAATAGTCCTCTATTCAGGAACATTATACCTTTCTACCTTTCCTGGTTTGTATCTGAATCAATCTTCTTTTTTATAAGGTTTAATATCCTCCTATACGGTTATTATAAAAATCCCAAAGAATTTCATAATGCCCCTCCACCTCTCGCGTGTCAATGATTGCAAGTGGCATTGAATGAACCTCCTCCATCGGAAAGACGTTGGGAGTTCCACATCAGTAACCATGCATATTGCAAGGAAACCTTCTTATGCAACTGATTAATAGCAGGTAATGTGAATTTGATGGATCATTTCTGCCTTAGAAATTTCTGAACTTTAGCGCCAATAATTTTGGGACACGCTGTATATGTATAAATGGACGGAGAGGGTGTAATGGCAAGTAGCGTCCTTCAGACACCCACGATCACGGGTTCGAATCCCGGCTCGAGACCCGCCTGAAACAACCAAGCCTTTGATCCCTCCGGTGTCGGTTAATCCTCCAGACTTGCCTGAGAAGATAAAAACACTGACATGTACATCGACTGGCCAGTGCACAATGAAGTCATCGCATAGCCCACATACGCATTCAATACATCATTACGATTCTGAAATGTAGCCGTATGCGGGGGTGCATCCCTCAGACGGAATCGATCAACACCCCAAGAGATTAGGATTTATATGTATAATTAATAATTTAACGGCACGTTTGCATGCCAAAACTTTTAGAAATGAGTCGCCTCAGCTCCCTTCAATTCAGGGTGGCCATAGCCACTGTGGTAAAGAATCAGAACTGGCCGTGGCGAGGCAGTGTTCAGACTCGAGAGAGCAAGCTTAAGAACAGGAATAGAACAACCTCAGTAGCCCACACCCTGGCCTCAGCAGGCTACGGTGTTAGACGGTATGGCAACCGGTGAGAAGCGAAGAAAGCTCTGCTTGCGCATCACGCCCTGGATTTCGTACCACGACAGCACTTCTTCTGTACAACAGAGAGACTATTCCCTACTTTATGCCTACGACGCGAGAACAGTTTCTTTCAATGCCTCGAGGCAACCGCTCACATCATGTAACATGTAATTTCGCTGCAGAAAACCAAGAGTAGAGCCGACGGACGAAGGATGAATGACCAACCCTTATCGTTCGTGGAGAAAAACTGTCATCGCGAAACTTTCATGGTTTCGTCGTGCACCCTGCCTGTCTGCCCTTCGTCGTTCCTCGCAAGGTCTTATCTCCTCGCTCTTCCATCCTACGCATCTTTTACATCATCAAGACCTGAGATTAAGGAGGTCAAACACCTGCGAATGCGAGTTTGGAAAGCGGACTGTATCGTCCCCTTTCCAAACTCGCATTCGCAGTTTGTGACCAACTGAAAGAGTAGGTCGGCCCAGTCTTACTGGGCCGACCTACTCTTTCAGGTGGTCACAAACTTCATGCGCACCTCGCGATACAAATGGCATCCCCCTTACATACATAAGAAAAGCATTCCCAGTTATGGAGGAATTCGCAGATGTCATTCTTAACAGAATAGAGACCGTATGATCTTCGCTACTGTCGCTCAATAAGTTCATGAGTGTTCTTTACGAGTTGTACGTGTGGATCATTCTGACCTGCATTCCGTGAACGTTGGATTAAGCTCAATCTGCTAGAAGGGCTGGATCGATCCCATAAGGGATACCACTGCTTAGACGAGTCCAAGTGGTCGCAATGATCATCGGAATGTGCTGGGAATTCCTATTGTCGACTATGAAAAAGCTTTTGACAGTGACGAAACGAATGTGGTCCTGTTAGCACTGGTCGATCAAGGGATCGAGGCCTCCTTCTATAAGAACACTAGCTGACTGCGGTAGACGCTGCATTGCGACGGTGCAACTGTTCCAACGACTTCTCGCTATTTTCATTGGATGGGCGAGAGAAGAGCGAGACCAATCCGCCGAAGCTGTTAAGAGCCGTGCTGCAGTGGGTTGTGAAGTCGCTAGAAAGGGGATGTGAGGGGCATTCGGGTTAGTAGAAACGGCTTCCCAAACCTCCGTTCTGCTGAAAACTTCGCTCTTTTTGGAGCATTTTACGGAAGTAGAGATTGTGCTTGCAGAGCACAAAAGCAGGAAAGAATGTAGGGCTGCGGGTCAACCAAACCAACCAATGACACATTTTATGGGGAATGCTTAGGCAGGCGAAGGTCAAATTAAGTTCGATGGTAGTTTTATCGAAGAGACGG